CACAGACACACACACACACACACACACACACTGGGGGAAGACACCACCGATCCACGCAAAAATGAACACCTGAGGGACAGGGACAAGCCACGGAAAAGGATGAGATGAACACCAGGGAAGAGCAGCCTCCCTCAGGATTTTGCTCCTGTCTTTGTTAAATTTTGAACATAGCAGGAGCCCCGATACAAAGCGGCCTCGAACGATGCCATGTCATTGCCATGGCCTACCATGGAGGCATTAAAAATGTGTCTTTTTCACTGACGCTGGCCAAACTCCATTGTCCTCTGACCAGAGGAAAAGTTTCGCCATTCCCCTCTTCCAGCGCCGGCAGGTGGCAGGAGCCCTGGTCCGCCTTTCCTCGCTAGTTGGGAGTCCGAGAAGCACCAGGCCACCACACACTTCCTGATGTGTGGGGTCCACCAGCGTCACTTACAATTCTTTGCAGATGACAGAAAAGTATTCTTTAAAGCACTGACCTGTTAGCAAGCGCTGTCGCTTTTGACGAGGTAGAACGTGTGCCTCTGCCCAGCACGCACACCACACACCTACACACTGCTTCGCAGCTCACCCCCTTAGAGCTCCTAACAGCCTCCAGGGGAAGCATGTTAAAACAGCGCAATTAACTAGAACTGCTACAAACTCAATAGCTCACCTACCTAATGAAGCAATACAAGGGAAATTGGACCTATTTTAATAAGAATTTTAAAAGAGACAAGAAGTAAAGGTCAAATGCCATTTCTGGATCCCAGCTCTTTTCTTCTTCCCTCCCACTCCGAAGCAGTTAATATCAAGGAGACTACGCATGCCGTACTAATCCTTATAAAACCAAGGGGGCAGCCAATCATGCTATTATACCCAAGGGCAAATTTTTTCTTTCCAACCCAACCCCCCAAGCTAAGTGCCTCCCCTGATCTATTTCTGAAGGTTTTATTATGCAAACCTGAAAGGATTTCAATTACAATAATTCTTGTCCTTCTCCAGCCCAACTCACAGAAGCGGAACTAAATTACCAGCAATTCTAGGGCTTAACGGTGGTTTTGCTTCTTCCCTCCTCTCTAGAGTCACCTTAATCTAGAGATTCTCCTCTCTCAGCCCCTTCCGTCAGCTTGGGGAACACAGCTGGTTTTATGCCACCCACTATGGAGCACATCCTGATGCCGGACAGGCTCATCACGAGTCCCCTTGCCCAGTAAAATCCACTCCTCCTCACTCTCCGTACCTGCCCCAGCCAGGTGTCAGGTCAGCCTGGCTTCCCACTGACCTCTTAGGAGGATGGGTGCGTGGACCAAGGCAGAACCGGAGACAGGTTTGGTAGAGGTGAGAACTTAAACTCCTTAATAACAAGCCTACGCTATCCTGGGGTCTACGCTAAGTCTATGTGTGTCACCTCACCTGACCCTCACAACCACCCCATGTGGTAGGTCTAGTATTTCACAGACAGGGCAACGAAGGCTCAGAGAGTTTAGAAAGGTCACGTGGGTGATAGGCAGTGGCTCCATCTGTACCACACCAGGCTCTGCTGCTGCCCTAAGAGTCTGGGGAGGTGCTGAGAGGTGCCAAGTGAGGAGACTGGACCAGGATGAGTTACAGCAGTTAACGCTCATATGTGACAAGTCCCTGGGGTTTGACCATAAAGGGAAGAGTGCAGGGCAGCCCTCCAGCGGATTTCCAGCCTGTAGTGCTTAATTAGAGGAGTTGCCGGATTACCAAAAGAAGCTTGTCATAGGGTGGCCTCACTTATATAAGGACGTTCTATCCATAACACGTGTTAATGTTAAAAATAAAACTGTCAGTTTTTCACCAGAAAAAATGGGTTTACCCGGGAATAGAGAATTGCAATTCAAGTCATTCAAGCTACGGCAAAACTATAGGCGAGTCCAGAGAACAAAGGAGAGGAACGCTCTTTTATGGGGGTAGAGGGGGTTCTGAGGGGCTGTTATAAACCAAAAGTCCACCAGAATAAAATGGGACTTTGAAGTGTAGTGGCTTTTCACTGACTGGGCTGTTGCTGGGCAAGGAGAAAATCTTTCTTCCTCCCGCTGGGGTAGTCACAACGTACAGGCTTCTTCCTGTGGGGAGTGCAAGATAGGTCTCTTCCTGTTGGGGTCTCAGCTGAGGAGGACTGATGGGGGTGTGAGAGCTCCCCCTTCTGGCCTCCTCACTCCATTTTAAAGGAGGTTTCCTTTATTTGATTTCAGACGTGGCTCTTAAGGGCATGCATGGCACTACAGGGGGGCTTCTGCCATAATTTCAAAACCAATGAAACAAAGCAAAACCGTGGCTAGCAACCCGTTTGTTTTTACTTCCAAACAAGGTGGGTGAAAGACCACTCACCAGGTGTATGACTGACCATCAACCTGCTGAAGTTAACTGTGCTGACTTCCACCTTGCCGGGTTCTAAGGTAAGCAGAGCCCCAAACTCCATGTTTGTTCTTAGGGATCAGTCCTTTAGAGAAGTGGTTGTTCATTCATGCGGGCAGTAAACATCTACTGCGCATCCACCACACGCTGAGCACCGGGCTGAGCCCTGGCACCCAGAGCTGACAAGGCCAATGGTTCCATAATCTTAGGGCTATGAAGGCAAAGTCCTAGGACCAAGACTCCATGCAGTAGGAGGCTCGGTTCCAGTCTCGGGGCTCATCAAATGCTTCCCCGAGAAAAGGTGACATCAAAACTAAGGACCTGAAGGGTGACTAAAAGGTATCCAGGCAGGCAGGCCAGAGAAAACAGTTGCGGAGGGAAGAGGACAGTAGAAGCCTGGGGGCAAGAATGAGCTGGGCCTGGCGGTCTGAGGCTGCTGTGCTCTAGCTGACCACACAGACCCGGTCCACTTGCATTGGGAGGGCCGGCACAGGGACAAGAGCCCGGAGGACAGGACAGGACAAAGAGCTTGCACGATGTGCCCCTGTCCTGCTCCGCCTCCGTTCTCACACTCGCATCAAGGCTCGAGGGCCAGTGTGCCAAGCGCAGCGGCAGCTGGCAGGGGCGGGAGGGGCCGGGAGGGGGCCCAGGCCTGCATTTTCTCCCCGGGACTCACTTCTTCCCTCTGGGTGCTGGTGTATTCAGAAAGCAGAGTTCATCCTCACCAGCCATTACAGTCCAAACATGCCTTCCAGGAGCTGTCTTACCAAGCCATTGCCCTCGCTAATATAATGTTATCAAATTTCTAATGCGGGTACTCTAAAGCAAATGTACTGTCACCGGCACGCCACTGGGCACATTTTTCCGAAGGAAAACAGCTGCTCACTGAATCTGTCGCTTTTCCTCTCCTCAGTACCATGCACACAGAGCAAGAGCCTGCTAAGGGCTCTTCTCCCACCCCTTCTTCAAGCATGCTCAAGATGCAGCATCAGGTGTCTCCACAGAAGCCAGCAGGTCAGCCACAGCACAGTTCCTGAGGAGCTTCCTGGATCACAGGACAAAGCCCTGACAACTAGAGCCTGTGCCTCAGAATCTTACGCCACAGACAGACGAGCTTCCGGCTCACTAGTCTGCTTTCCTCATTTTATAGACCAGAAGGGAAAATGCAGTCCAGAGAAGTTAAGTAAAAGGTCTGAAGTCACACAGCCAGTGAGCTGTAGAAGCACGGGCCGGTTCCTATCTAAAAAACCAGATCTACTACGCGGGTTGTGAGGCCTAAACAAGAGAGCCCTCACACAGCAGTGCCAGAAACGTGGGAGGTGTTCAACGAATGGTGACTGACTGCAAAACTTTGTCTCTTAGATCTCCGGAACAACCCACTCCCCCTCTCCCGGGGCCTCATTCTGCTGACTTCCCATGGAGGAAAGAAAACAGACTGGCAGCGGGGTTAACGTGTTCACAGCTGGTGTTTGGCCAACAACTGACAGGAGGTGAGCCAAACTCCCTCCTGGTTCTCAGATCTCTAGTCCCGTTCCCTGCCCTGCCAGATCCACTCCCGCCAGACTTTCTGTTGTCTCTGGAGAGCTGATGTGATCAGAGAAGACACCGCTGCGGCTGGAAGTGACCACTGAAGGGACTCGTGTCACCTTCCCTTTAGCCACTCCGAGTTGGAAGGGACTGCGCAAAGTCCACTTGAGAAGGGACAGACAGGGACTCGCAAGCTTTCTAGCCGGGAGGGTGAGGAGTACAAAAGATCCCGTAGTCAGTCACCACAAATCTACCAATCGCTGACAAAAAAATCCCCCAGACCACAGGACAAGTGTTAACTTCCGACAAGACAACTAAATTGGCCAATCAGCTCCGGTTTTGCTCTTCTCTCACCCACACCAGCTCCTCTGCCCCCTCCCAGCCCCCTCCCCACACTTTAAAACAACCATCCAACCATGTAAATTCCCCAGTGTAAGTGTCTGTTAGTCTCCAGCAGAACTGTCAATGCTCATAAATTCCTGGCCTTCCAGATTGCACTGCGGCTATTTACTGGGGGGAGGGATGCAGCAGCCACTAGACAATAGCAGGAAGAGATTGGCCGAGCAGTAACTACTCTGGTTACAGCATCGCAATTCATGGCAGCATTTTGCTGGGAGTGTGCATCATCAGGGAGGAGAAACATAAAAAGGGGAACCTGGGCTGTAAATAGTTTATTTCGGCAATTCCTGATGTTGGCTGAATCATACTTTAATACAGAAATACATGAAAGCACCACTCTGGCGGTGACATGTGTTGCCACCTCATTACTCTTTTCAAAAGGGTCTTCCATCAGAGAGACACCTCGCTACAAATTATAGTGAAGAAAACAAAACCCTCACGCCCAGACTTATTAATAGGCCAGAAGGAAATGGAACCGCTAGGATTTAAGGAAGCAGAGAACCCATGCAACAGAGGCCACGGGTGATCTGGGGTCTCTGGGTTGTGTTTCCATGCAGAGAAAATAGGACGAAAAGAAAAAGCTAGCGCTCTTCTGCCTACGAGTCCGCTCCTCGACTGCACGTCTCAGCGTTTCACAGTAGCTCTCACTTCCCCCGTTCCTTAGGTGCATCCTAACGCACCGGAAGTAGGCTGACTTCTCCAGGGCACCCTACCTTCGTGCTCCTTCTCGGTGGTTCCCACTTTCTTGATCTTCCTGGGAGATTTCATAAAGAGGGGAAAGATGGTCCGTAAGCCAAGAATATCAACGAACTTATGACAATTGTCTGTACCCTCGGGTCCGATCATGGCATGGTCCAGCACTTTCAGGGCACTGCTCCGGGAGATCTTCTTTTCTCTGGGAACAAAAGAGGTTTCACATAAGGCATGGGGATGTTCTAGTCTCAGAAAAAAAGGGGGTGGGGGGCGGATATACTGCAGTACCCATTATAAAGGGGGAAAAAAGAAAGAAAGAAAAAAACAAAACAACTTGCATGTCCACCAATGAGAAAATTATTGCATAATGGTAGATCTACACAGAATATTACACACTTGTTAATAATTAGGAAAGTCTATAATAGAATGAACGAGTTCTTATGGTCAGAATGATAAGCACAAAAGGTAATATTCAAAATTCTATATGAGGCATTACCTCAATTATGTGAGAAATATGCATTAAAAAAGACTAGAAAGACATAGATCAAAATGCTAACAGAGGTTATTTCAGGGTGGTGGGATTATGAATCACATTATTCCTTTTTCTTTTTTTTAACAGCTTTATCAAAATGTACTTCACCTACCATACAATTCACCTATTTAAAATGCACAATTCATTGAATTTTAGTATATTCACAGATACGTGCAACTATCACTACAGTCAATTAAAGAACATTTTTATTATCCCGACAAGAAATCCCCTACTCTTTAGCTGTCACCCCCCTACTCTCCCCATCCCACCCTAGCAACCACTGACCTACATTCTGTCTCTACGGTTTTGCCTATTCTGGACATTTCAAGTAAATGGTATCGTACAATAGGTGGCCTTTTGTAACTGGCTTCTTTCCCTCAGCACGACGTTTTCAAGATTCATCCGTGCTCTAGTGTGTGTCAGTATTTCATTCTTTTCTGTAGCTGAATAGTCCATTGCATGGATACGCCACAATTTGTCTATCTGTTCATCCACTGATGAACATTTGATGTGTTTATACCTTTTGGCTATTATGAATAGCGCTGCTAAAATAGTCATGTACAAGTTTTTGAGTGGACATATGTTTCATTACACTTGAGTGCATGTAAACCAAGCAGCAGAGTTGCTGGGGCATATGGTTAACTCTACGTTTAACTTTCTGAGGAACCATCAGACTTATTTCCACACTGGCTACACCATTTGACATTCCCACCAGCAGTGTGTAAATGTTCTGACTTCTCCACATCCTCACCAACACTCGTCAGCTGACTTGATGGTGCCAGCCATCCTCATTGGGTGAGAGATGGTACCTCACTGTGGTTTTAATTTCCGTTTCCCTGATAACTAATGCTGTCAGCATCTTTTCATGTGCTTACTCGGAATTTGTGTACCTTCTTCAGAGAAATGTCTATTCAGATCCTGTGGCCATTTTAAAATTAGCTTAATTATCTTTATTATTTAGTTGCAAGAGCTCTTTGTTCTGGAGATACAAGTCCCTTAACAGATATATGATTCGTAAATATTTTCTTTTTTCTAGGGGCTGCCTTTTCAACTTTCTTGATGGTATCCTCCGAAGGACACAGGTTTTCAATTTTGAGGATGTCGAACTTACCTGTTTTGTTGTTGTTGCCTGCACTTTTGGTGTCAGAGCTGATTCGATAGCATGAGGATTTATACCTATGTTTGCATTTAAGGGTTTAATAGTTTAAGTTCTGATATTTAGTTCTTTGACTCGTTTTCTGTTAATTTTTGTATGTAGTGTGAAGTAATGATACAACTTCATCTGCATGTGGACATCCAATGGTGCCAGCACCATTTGTTGAAGACTATTCTTTCCCCGTTCCAGGTTTTTGGCATTCTTATTGCAAATCAGCTGACCCCAGACACAGTTTTATTTTTGGATTCCGAATTATATTCTGTCAATTTATGTCAGTAACACACTGTCTTGATTACCACTGCTTTGTAGTAAGTTTTAAAATTGGGAATCCTACATTGTTCTTATCTCAAGACTGTTTGGCTATTCTCGGTCCCTTGCGATCAACTCCATATGAATGTAAGGATCAGCTTATCAATTTCTACAATGATGTCAGCTGGCATTTTGATAGGGATTGTGCTGAATCCATATAACTTTTGGGGGAGTACTGCAATCTTTCATTTCTTAGCTCTTCCTTAATTCCTTTCAACAATGTTTTGTAGTTTTCAGGGTATAAATTTTGCACGCACTTCTCTTGTTAAATTTATTCCTAGGTATCATACTCTTGATGCTATTGTAAATGGAAGTATCTTCACAGTTTCACTTTCAGATTGCTCATTGCGAGTGTACAACTGATTTTTGTAAATTAATCTTTATATTATCCTGCAACCTTGCTGAACTCACTTATTAGTCCTGATAATTTTTTGGTGGATTCTTTAGGATTGTCTACAGACAAGAGAACATCCTTTGTAAACAGAGAGAGTTTTACTTCCTCCTTTCCAATCTGGATGCCTTTTATTTCATTTCCTTGCCTAATTGCCCTGGCTAGAACCTCCAGTACAATGTTGAATGTAAGTGGTGAAGTGGTGTCTTGTTGCTGATCTTAGGGGGAAAGCATCCAGTCTTTTAGCATTCACTGTGATGTTAGCTGTGGATTTTTTGTAGCTGCTCTATATCAAAGGTTGGAGAAATTCCCTTGTATTCCTAGTTTAGGTATTTTTATCATGAAAGATGTTGGGTTTTGTCAAATGCTTTTTGCATCTTATTATTCCCTTTCCTGTTTTTCGTGTTTCTTTAATTTAAAAAAAAAAATTTTTTTTTTTTAACGTTTATTCATTTTTGAGAGACAGAGAGAGACAGAGCATGAGCAGGGAAGGGGCAGAGAGAGACGGAAACACAGAATCCAAAGCAGGCTCCAGGCTCTGAGCTGTCATAACAGAGCCTGATGCGGGACTAGAACTCACGGACCACGAGATCACAACCTGAGCCAAAGTCGGACGCTCAACCGACTGAGCCACCCAGGCGCCCCATGTTTTTCGTGTTTCTTAATTAACATGCATTACTTTGAGAATTACAAAAGTTAAATTATTTTCAAGAAAAAAATACAAGTGATTTTCCCCCTCAAGTCCAAAGGTCATAAAATAATTATGCCACTGTCTACTGCTCTTGCAAATAGTTCTCTAAGGAGTATAATTTTCTATAACCTTCCAGTGTTTTCTTTAACACTCTATGAGATAGAGAGGAACAAGTCAGTCATTTCATATCTTGGTAATCAACCAAGTAAATCAACCAACCAATCCAATATTCAATATTTACTGAGCACTTACTCAGTACTGTGGAAGACACAAGAGAAAAACAAAAATTAAGACATGGCTTCTGCTTTCAAAAACATGTAAATCTATTTAGGGAGACTAAATTAATATGAAATAATCAGGCAAAAGTATAAGTTTGCAAATAACCTTTTCCCCATTCGATCTACAAACATTTATTGGATACCTCTCATGTGACTACGATAGACCAAGTCTCAGTCCTCATGGAGCTTACACTCTTACTGCAGGAGACATACGGAAAATCGAGGCACTTGATAGTGTTAGGTGTGATGGAAATAATGCAATGTAAAAGAATGAATGAATGGAGAGGATATTTTGAGTTAGGTCACTGCAGAAAGCCTCTTTAGGGGTAACATTTATATTGAGATCTGAGTGTTGACATGAATTGGTCTGGAACATTTTAGGGGCAAAACATTAAAGGCAGAAGGAACAACAGGTGCAAAATCCCTAAGGTGGAAATGGGCCGGCATGGTCAGAGAACAGACAGAAGACTGGCATTTTTGAAGCATAAAGGAACAGTATTCCTAGCTTAGATCTGAGGGGAAAACATGGGCCATATCAAAGGCCATGCCACCTTGTCTTGTATGGCACAATAAGGCCTCCAAGTAAAGAACTGGTTCTAGGAGTTAAGCAGATCAAATTCAATCATGTTTGTTCTGAGACTATTATGTGTTAGTTACTTTAGAGGGAGAGAGAGATTAGGTACATCTGGGGGAGTATAGGAAAAAACAGATATATATGTAAATATTTGAAAGCAGGTGAAAAAGTAAGACGGGTGACTGTGGGTTACTCCTAGTAAAGCCTGGAGAAGAAAGTCCATCAGCTTGAGGAGAAAACAAGGGTAAAAATTTTTCAAAATTATATTTTGAAGAATATGGACAATTCAGTCATATTTTTAGGGTGTCAAGAAGCCAATGGTGATGAGGATACTAAAGATATAAAAGGGGAGAATGGACAGATGGAGCAAGGTCACTGTCAGGCAAGAGGAGGCAAGGCCTGACCAAAAAGGGCCCAAAGCCCTTCACCCAGTTTCTCACCTGAAAGCCAAAGAAAAGAAATTGGAAATAACCTCCCTTAAAGGAATCGGAAATAACTTCTCGTTGATAGCCTTTTGCAGAGGAAACACTATTAAGACATCGCATTATTTAAGTGCTAAAGATGACGAGGCACGCTTATCCTAGGTCAGACTAGCCAGCCCAAATTGGGTCCTGATGAGTTAAGAAAAGGAGAAGAGGTAAAAAGCTTGTTGACAGAGCCCCTTGGTGCTGGCCCATCCTGGCTTACCTGAGGCTGTTCCATTTCTAGCATTGAACGTACCACAGCCTGGGAAACCTCTCAGTCCCAGGCAAACCAAGACAGCTAGACATCTTACTTGGTGCCTACCTCAAAAGACCAAGGATGTACTGTGAATACAGTACCTTTATTCCCTACCTTTATTCCCCTGGCCACAGAATTAATCAAAACAACCCACAGATACTCACAAGTGACATTCAACACAACTACTGAGTTTAAAAGAAAAAAAATGGCTACCACTGAGCACGTGCCTTCACGCAGCGGGCACGACACTAGCTGCCAGGAAGTATACACTCCCTGTCTTTAAGCAATGTAAGGACAGTTACATAAAAGTAATTTCAAAAGCCCAAAGCAATAGAAACTAAGTCCAAGGAGGTGAAAGGTGGAGATAATTAACTTTATCTGGGAGAAGTCAGTGAAGGTGTCAAATGGACAGTAACATCTGAACGGAGTCTGAAGAACGAGCATCTGCCAGGCAGAGAAGGGCGTGCGGCGCCACCGGGGGCAGTGTGCGTAAAGAGCATGCGCGAAGGTACGGTAGGCAGTACGAGTGCGCCACGTAGGGGACCAGAGGT